AATCAAATTTAATGGTGAACTAAATAGTTCAAATAAAAACAAACAATTAAAACAACTCCAATTAATTCCCATTACAACTGTAAAAAAATATTTAAATGCTTAGCAAAGTCATTTCGTAACAAAGAAAACATAGAATAGTTTTGCTAGCTGGTAAACATATAGTGATCGATCCAATACAATAGCTATTTCGATATGTCTACTTTTAGAAAATGGTTTTATGGAGATTGTAGAAATTTAATAATTGAATTGGTGGGTCGATTAAAGGTAGACCATCATGGAAAACTTGGAAACACTAGAAGGTCGTTTCGTTCTAGTATGGGACTACTCAGTAGTGCGCACCAACGACCCCGCTCGTGAAATTACAGCCCAAGATTTTCGAACTAGCACGCTTCAAGAAGTATTTCCTGGAGCTATAGTAAAAAGCCGTGTCTAGTGCGAAGCAGTAACTCATTGAAGACAATGGTGGACGGTAGCACAATTTCGTGGGTTGGTTGAAGTGAGACATTAACACCGTTAGATTCCAGCTCAGTGGTCTAGAGGTTAAGCGTTCGAGCGCGAGACCGAAAATCTTGGATTTTAATCCCATGAGTGGGATTGTGAATGCACACTTCTGAATAGTCCCATACTGGGACGAAACGACCGTCTAGTGCTTCCATGTTTTCCAAGGTGATATAGCTTCAATCGACTCATGAATCCAAATAGTATATACTTTTAACCGATACGTTAAAATATCTTGTTTTAACAATGTTGAATATGATCTTTTCCTGGAAAGTGACATCATATCGAGTAGACAAGTCACCACAAATCCAGAGAAAATGTCTCGAGTTCTCACCACAATGATTAGCAGTGTCTGAATGAACCAATGATTACTACCAATAATCATTATCCTCCATATATAATAAAACTCAGTGTTTCTTTTACAGAAAAAAATTCTTGGGATAATGAATTTATTTCTAACCAAACTTTTTCTAAGGTGACAGGCAAGTGCTAAAGTGTATCTAATTCCAGATATTATTGACAAGCCGGTTTTTTTTTAAAAAAAGAAGGTCAGAAATCGATTGAAGATAATTAACTATCAAGTATGGTTTCAACACTGTCTCATTGAAACAAAAATCACCTTATAAGATTTCCATTATCCTGATCTAAACATTTACAAGATCTATATGATGATACTGTAGTATTTCGCCTTCTTTCTATGTACATTGATAACCATTTCATTAAGATTGAAAAATTGCTTATATCGATTTAAACAAAGAAAAATATCAAATTATCTGAATAATTTAATGCTGCATAATAGTTAGTTTTATTATCGCTGAGAGAAAAAAATCAACCCGTGTAATTTGAACTTAGTAACTACAATAAATAATTCATAATTATTTTTTTTAGATAAATTTAAAATTTAAAACATCCACTTGTTGTTAATATGTAATAGAAATGAGAGTAGAAGTGTAAAACTGAGCTATAAATAGAAGCAAACAATAATATAAATTATGATAGAATAGATTTGATTTTATGGTATGTATAGTAATAACCATTTACAACTGAAGAACATCTGGAACTCAAAACAACTGTCAACCAACACCAAGATCAAGATTTTCAATACAAATGTCAAGACAGTTCTACTGTATGAGGCGAAAACCTGGAGAACTACGAAAGCCATCAGCCAGAAGATACAAGTGTTTATTAACAGTTGTATACGCAAAATAATTCGGACCCGTTGGCCGGACACTATTAGCAACAACCAACTGTTGAAAAGAACAAACCATATTCCAGCGGAGGAAGAAATTAAGAAGAAGCGCTTGAAGTGGATAGGATACACATTGAGGAAAGCACCCAACTGTGTCACAAGACAAGCCCTCACATGGAATCCTCAAGGCCAAAGGAAAAGAGGAAGATCAAAAAACACATTACTCCGGGAAATGGAGATAGACATGAGAAAAATGAACAAGAATCGGGTGGAACTAGAAAGGAGGTTCAGGACAGAGTGGGTTAGAGAATGCTGGTCGGCGGCCTATGCACCATTGGGAGTAAAAAGCGTAAGTAAGTAAGTAAGTAAGTAATAGTAATTCTACATGCTAAAAGTATAGAATATGTATAATTCCTAAACTAATATCAAACAGACATTGGCACATGGTCAAAAACGGCCTTTATATCTACGTTTCATCTTTATTTATCATTCACATGATGTTGAAGACTGACTGAAGTATAAAATATGGATTATTTTATGTTAAATTAAAAATTCACTATATGATTGAAAAGTTTGAATCCTATTGAAAACCTGATCAACTAATTGTGTACATACAAAAAACTATAACGATTACGAGATTTAGTGATCAGTATTGTTCATTTATTGTCTAACTGAAATCAGTTTATCAAGTAAACTATCTTCATAATACATGTTGTTTCTATCTGTAAAGATAACTCATTCAATAACCTGTATTATTTCAAGAATATAGGAATTTTTCACTAACATTTAAAATAAATTCCTGGATTTCACTGCTAGACACTAATCATCTTTGCTTATAATGTTTGTGAATTAAGAAGATATCGAGGCAATCCACACGGAATGCACATGTGTCAAGGAGGACTGGTCAGTTACAGTCGTAAACATCAAAGAGAAGATTCAAGTTAACAATGCCAAGTGAAGTTATTTTTTTTATTATAGTAATGTTATTATTATACATATAAATCAACGGATCCTTTTTCCATCAATTTGATAGAAGCAAATAATGAATGTTACTCATAATTGTAATTATAAATTACGATAATCAATCTTAATTAACAATATTATCCAATTTCATAGTGTACCAATTTAGTCATAAAGTTAAACAATATTCATATTCATTTCAATAGTTGAGATCATGAGTCAATTAAAACTAGACAATCACGGTAAACCTGAAAGCATTGAATGGCCGCTTCGTCCTCTTGTAAGACTACTCAACAATGCGCATCCATGATCCCGTTTCGTGAGACTCGAACCCAGGACTTATTATTCTCATGCACGAAATGATGTAGAAAATCGAAAAATCATTTATCATCATAAAAATTAAACTACACATTTATGTAAACAATAATAATAACTTTTTCTATTTCTATTTAAATTAGTGTAAATTAATATAAGAATAAATAATTAACTGTAATTATATGATATACCAGTGAAATTTCTAAAATCTTCACAAAACCCCTTTTTATAATAATCATCTGCTCACTAGTGAATGAATTCAAGAGATACTCCTGGAGTTCTAGTGAGAAGCCGTTACCAGTGGAGTTCAACAAGATCTGTTGTGAGATATCAACTCACTGAAGATAATGGTATACGGTGGCGCAACTTCGTGGATTAGTTGAAATTAGACAATAACACCATTCGATGTCTGCTAAGTAGTTTAGTTTGTTAAGCGCGTGGCGCGAGATTGATAAGTCCTGTGTTCCAATCTCGCGAAAGGCGGGATCATGAATGCGCACTGGTGAGGAGTCCCATAATGGGACGAAACGGCCGTCTAGTGCTTCCAGGTTTTCCATGGTGGTCTAGCTTCAATCGACTCATGATTTCAATCTGTGAAATTTCTGAAACTCTCCACAAAATCCCTTCTAATAATAATAATAATAATAACCTTTTCTATATGTATTTAAATCAATGTAAATTACTATAAGAATAAATAATTAACCGTAATTCTATGATTTTCTATTCATCTAAAAAATTGTTAAATTTATACATTAAAACAAATTAATTATTATTTCTTTTTATTCATTACTTCATTCATTGTTTCATTGTTTGTTTGTTTCTCTGATTCTTTCTTTTTTTTCTCTCTCTCTCTCTTTCAATCTACTTCATCTATGGCACGTGTTCTTCTACTATTTAGTCACCAGTGTGGTAGATCAGTTCATTATTATTATGATTATTATTATTATTATTATTATAAATCTTTTTTTTCATTCATCTTAATACCAAAAAAAGGAGAAATTTATACCATATGCTAAATGTCTATAATTAAGTGTCTTAAATATATAACATTTTGTTATATAATTTCTCTTTTCTATAATAATTTTATCCGAAGAAATATGTTTATATATGGACATTTCCTTAAAGAGATCTGATTAATGGATATACTTTGTAAGTGAATAGGTTTACAGTCTTTTTATAAATGTAGTTAACCGATAGATAGATAGATAGATAGATAGATATGTAACATTTATAATTTCCTTTGCATAAGTGACGACTATAGACAAAATAAACAATTGTTACGCGTACAAAAGGGAGATGATTCGGTGAAAAATCACGAGATGTGTCTAGTTGAATCACTTCTTTTTTTTTCTTCGAGTTCCAATTATTTGACTTTTAGTTTTTGGGACTTTTTTCTAATATCTACATAAAATTTAATATTTATTACCATGAGTTATATATACAGATATATATATATATATATCTGCATCTAAATTAAACTATATAGAAAGGTTATTTATACAATAGAATTAAAATTATTATCTCTATAGGTAATGTATAATGAGTTGAATGTTATGATAAGAGAAACTATATATAAACTAATAGGATATGATACATTGAAAGCTTATAAAAAACTATATGAATAGATTATGAATCAATTAAGATTCACCGATTTGATCTTGTGATGTTAAACTATTTGTTGTTCTATTATTCAATTGATAAGATTTTAGATAACTTTTAGTCATATGAATATTTCATAAAGAGCTACTGATTATTCCTAATTATGATCAATAATTTATTGGATTTTTTTTATTCTTCAAGTAAACAAAAAGGTGACAAAACATTTAACTTAGATACTTAATAATCAATAAAATGGAATGTGGGGGGGGGGAAATATAAAATAAAATGTAAATATTTTGTTTATATCAATATTATTATTATTATGTATGAGTAAATAGTAGAAAGAAAGAAAACAACAAAAAATTTTTTATAGAATAATATTTATCAGGTATAAAATTCATTACAATTTTACAAGTAGTATCTTCATTTATTATGGTTATTATTATTGTTTTTGAGGTTGAAAAAAGAAATATAGTCTCTTTTAAAGTATTTTTGTTTCTATGGTTTTTCTTTATTTTTTTTGATGTTTCAATTTGTTTAATAATGATCTATTTATTGAATTTATTCTACCGTATTCATATCTTTATGATAATTAAATAATGAACCAATATTCCATGTAAATAAACCACGATTAATACGATCTAATTCTTTAAGAATACAATGTCTCCATTTTAATTTACGTGCTGTATAACTTAAATTATTTTCATCATTATTATAATTATGATTATTATGTGATATAATTGTTTTACTACCAATTAAACGTAAACAATGTTCAGCAGCTTCATCGACTTTTTCTGATGAAAAATATTCATTAATAAGTGCTTCATTATCTGGATCAAACTAGATTTTGAAAGAAAAAAAAACAGAAGAGAAAACAAATAGAATCATTTCTTAAGATCCGTAACCAGAATAATCTTATATAAAAACAACAAAACAATGAATTCAAAGTAATCTTGTGTTTACTAAAATAGCTGATGAACATTTAAATTTTGTGTAAGAAATGAGACTTTTGATGGTCAAAGCTCTTTTCAACTAGTCATAATTTCTATCATACATATAACCAAAGTTTACAGACTGTCTCTGATTATCATTACTTATTAAGTACATTAATATGAATGCAAACAAATATGATTCACCAAGCAAAGCAGACTATATTTTAAGGTTTATTATTATCAATTTCAAAGAAGTAAGAGCCAAATAGAATATTGGCAATTATTCTTTACAAGAACATTATGAATAAATGAAGTTGTAAAACTTTCTACAACACTATTATAGTACATTTGTTCATGTCAGCCGTGATCCATTTTCCATTTTTAAACTGCTACGATTTGGTATTAAACAGAAGTGACCGTTAAAGTAATAATAATAATATTTTTCAGTTTTATTTTACCCATGCCGCTAAATAAGACAAGTATTATTCAGTTTTTAACAATTAGGATAAAATATTAATTTACATTATCTTTATTGATGTTTTTCGTATTAGCAGACTTCGAATAGACACTACCTTGTGCGATGGATATGAAGTTTATTTGGAAACTTCATTAATATCGTCTGGTTCAATAATGATGAAGTGATTATGAATGTTACGAATGTTCAAATAAACTATTATTGCTTCATGATTTGGTAGGACTCGTATTCCAATGATAGCCATTATTCCACTTTAATAGAGAACATGTGATTAAATGGCAATATTGAGACGATTCAATCACCATGTACACATACTAAAAGAGATTGATAAATTACAGTCGTCAACATCAACAGCTCGAAAAAAAATGCAAACAATTACAAAGAGAATTTATATCCCTGAACAGTTGAATGCCTAATTGGTAACTTAATGATGAAGCGAAAACTCCTAGGTTCTGATACAATTTTGAACATTAACAGTGAAATACTAAAAAATGCAACTGACAACTTTCTAATAAAACATCATCAGCAACCTACACTTCATCTACTCAAACTATTTAAACTGAATGAAAACTCGAGACAAATTTCTTTTCCGTTATTTCTAACACAAAAATGACTGTTCAAAACCAATTCTTATTGTTTCACAGTGTATTAAAGCAGAATATCTTTTCTTTGTGGAGGGGGGAATAAATCAATAAATCAATAATAATTTATCATGTTGATATGTGTATTTTTTCTTATAATTTCGATCGTAAATTATTCAGAAATCTGATCAAGCAAAATAATAAATATTAATATGAATAGATTATCAGTGATAATTAATTATTCGCTAGATCATCGTATTCAATAAACAACATCAAATGAACTATTACAATTTTAAATGAGACAAAATGTTTGACATTTATGTTTTCTTTCAACAACAACAACAACAACAAAAAGAAAATTAAAGTCATACAGATCATATCAAAACTAGTTATGAAGTCGTATTATTATGATTATTTAGTGAATAATCCTCTTAAATCTTGATTCAATCATTAGCATCGAGAATATTAGGTCTATCGATCTATGTTCATATTTATAGAATATTTTCTAAGATAAGATTAATTTTTCATTGAAAGTGTTCATCGATGAAGTTGATACCATTTATTCAAGTAATGTGTTGCAATCATTATTTATTCGATGAGTAAACGAAGATTAACTCATATTCTTTAGTTTCATTGAACTATATCATATTCACTACATAGAACTCAATACACATCTATAAAATGTCTTCCTTTCTAAATGTATTATCTTTTTCTTGTATAACTTAAAGTAATGATGCATAGTAAATAGTACCAGTATGATAAGGATAGAATTTCAATGAAGGTTATGGAAGAATATATATATGAACAACGTAATAAAATTTCATTAGTTTTAATTTATTCAAAATGCTTCATTTCACTTCATTTACCTTCTTGGAAATTTATATTATTAAATTAAATTAATTTCAATAGATTTTCATTTTCATTTTCATAACTTGAATAAGACTCTTTGAATATATTCAATTTAAACTACGTTTTAATATTCTTCTTCAATTTCCATCTTTTTTTAATTAATAATTTCCATGTGTATAGTTAAAAGTAATTTAATATAATAAAATTCCTTTTTTCGAAAAAAAATTGTTTTAAACATCTATCCGAAGAGGTTTTGTGAAGATTTCAGAATATTCACTGATTGAAATCATGAGTCAGTTGAAGGTGGACCATCATGGAAAAGCTGAAAGCACTGGACAGCCGTTTCGTCTCCACAAAACCCCTTCTGATAATAATCATCTGCTCACTAGTGAATGAATTCAAGAGATACTCCTGGAGTTCTAGTGAAAAGCCGTTACCAGTGGAACTCAACAAGATCTGTTGTGAGATATCAACTCACTGAAGACAATGGTATACGGTGTCTCAATTTCATGGATTAGTTGAAATTAGACAATAACACCGTTGGATGTCGGCTCAGTGGTTTAGTTTGTTAAGTGCCTGGCACGAGACTAATAGGTCTTGTGTTCTAATCTTGCGGGGGGGCAGGATCGTGGATGTGTACTTGTGAAAGGTCCCATACCAGGACGAAACGGACATACAGTGCTTTCATGTTTTCCATGGTGATCTAGCTTCGACTGACCTATGGATACGTTAATAAACTCTAATAGAGAACAATTTGAAAATAGTTGAATAATCAATAATACTTCTTTTTTTTCTTCTTTTTTGGCTTGTTTGCTAAATTCTATATTGTTTAAGGTTCAAGTTATTTTATAATTCCTTTTTTCAATTATTTATTAAATATAATATTTGACATAATTTGAATTAAATAAAAATAAAAAAGAAACTTTATATTGAACGTATGGTGGGTGTATAAAGTTTAAAGAAATTTTGTTTATCATTGTTATTCTACTTGTAACTATGGTATTAACCATTTAGTAGTAAACATTGTAAAGTAACCTTTATCTTCTTTTTGCTTGTTTGTTTACTTTTCAACGGTAAACGTCTTGTTTAGATTCTGTTATGTATAAAACAATAATTATTGTTTATATACATAAAATTTCATATAGATGATAATATATATTGAATTGTGGAATTTTAAATATTTGTTGATGCTATAAATATAATAAGTACCGATGAAATCCAAATTATGGATTTGATCCAGTCATTGACTAGTCAATTCAGTGTTAATTACATGGAATATAATTTATCAGTTTGCTTGAATATCTGTTTTTAATATCAACATATCTCAATAAGTTACCGATGTTTTGTTTGTTTTAATACATCATTATGTTACTTACTTGCATAACATATTTAGGCGTGTTTATGAAACGTTTACAATCTTTCACTGTAAGGCATACCAAAAAAAAGTAAAATCAGCGACATTTTGTTGGATGTTAATATGCATTGAAAAGAATGATTATTGTTCAGATTTCAATTCTTGAACTGCTAACATCTAACTACTGGTAAACTCATCAGAATAGATGAAGAAATAAGGAGAGGAAACTTGATGAAGTACATTGTGCTAAGAATTCTATATCTTAAATAAATTGAATAAAGTTACTATTAATAATACATTTCAATATATCATTATGTATATAGATGAATTTTCCAAATTTTACTCTCTTTTCATTTAGATAAGCGGAAATATTTTAGTTTCCTTAAAATATCCCATTCGAAATCAATATATATACGTATATCTGTGTTGTACACCTAATTGCCCAAGAATTGATTAATTTAGAGAAGAAAATATTGTTTATTTGTTTACGAAAAATAGAGAATCTATTTATTTATTTACAAATAGTTGGCATATTTTTCGAGAAAATACTTCATTCCTGATACTTTTACATAAGTGTAAATTTATTTTGTACTTGACAAATTTTATCATTATGTATATGCGCTTGAAGAAAAAAAACTTTTATTTTTATGGTTTAATGGTTATATAAATGTTAAAAGCATAGAAAAGAATAAAATAATCGATTGGGACTGAATATTCAGGAACAGTAAACAGTAGATCCCACATCATCATATTCTTTAAGGTATATATATATATATATATATATGCGTGTAACAAAATCGAATAAAGCAACATCAATAAATTCAACTTTCATTTTCTTGGACATTGTTGCAATAAAATTATGCAAACATTTATTCTAAATGAAAGTTTGGAAATTGCAACCTTAAGCATTTAGTGATTAACAGATCTCCGGTTGTTTTTTTCTTCTTTTGCTTAAACTACAATTATGAACAATTAGAGATTTTAAAACATATCGTAACATAATTAAAAGTTGTGTAATCTAGTTCACTTAGTAAACTTTTAGAAGGTAAACGAAATTCAATACGTTTCAAATGGTGAGAATTACATATATATGTATTTGTATATAAGAAAAGAAAAGGAAGTATTTACTTTGACAAATAGTCATTTGAAATGTGCGCGTACACATTTTCTTTCGAGTAAATACTAGAAAATAAGATCTTGTAAAGATGTCTACCTATTCAACAGAATAAATATAAAATACCACAAGAATCACCTATTGACAGTGAATTAATAAATATTTGACTTTGATAATAATAATAAGCAAATGATAAAACATAAACTTGGGATAAAAATTACTATATAATAATAAATATAATCACTAACCTGTTTTAATGAAACACTTTGACCAACTGGCATATATTCAGCCATTGAACATAAAATTAGAAAAGTGATAATTTCAATGATTTGTTTCATATTGATGAATAAACTCTGTATATATATGTGTATATACATACAGTATAAATAATCTTACAATGATTGTATTTGTTTTGTATTGTTTTCTTTCTTTCTTGTTTTTCTCGCTTTTTTTTCTCTTTTAAAGAATTTCTTTTATAATGATTAAGCAATAAACAAATAGTTTTATGATGAATAAAAGAAATAAATGAAACAATTAGATGTTTTATAGGGAAAAATGAGTAGAAAAATGAACTTCACTTTATGAATATAAGTCTTCTATGTAAATATATATCTATATATCTATATAGAGTTATGATATCACGTTATGCATGATATTACACTAAATATACACTAGACATATTTATATAGTTTTGTCAAATTTTATGATTGGTTAATTAGGGAAATATTCTTTTTTCATATTATAGAATAGTTACTTTATTTATATATTTATTATTATTATTATAATAAACAACCATGATTTTGCTTCTCCCTTAGAGATGACCAATCATATTTTAATAAAAGAAAAATATTCCGCTTTCCATTTGTTTTTAATTGTGAAATTGAAAAAAAATGTAAAAAAATAAAAAAAATAAAAAAAAATAAAGAAAAAGAAATAATATTAATAACCTATTTATACATAACAAAAAGAGCAATTGTCAATATAAGATAAAGTACAAAGATGATGATTGATAATTAATAATTAATACTCATTATTTAATGTTGAAACTAATTGTCATGGTTTATAAAATAAAAATTTTGTTTATTCCCTTTTTATTTTCTTTTTTTTTCCCCATATCAACTATACTTGATTCATCAATAGTTTTATTAATATATATAAAAAGTAATAAAAATATCATTGATTATAGAACATGAACATTGAAGACAATTTTTATTTGTCTCAATGTATATTCTCTGGTTTTTTCTTTAAAAAAAAAGAAGAAGAAAAAAGAAAACGACGAAAAAAAACATATTTGTCTATCATTTTTCAGACTAGTAACAAAAGAAATTAATAATCATTGTGATTTTTAATTTACGTACTTATTATTGTTGATTCATTGTGGGCTGTTTAAAGGGAATAAAGATATATATATATATACATGTATTCATTAAGTGTTAATATAAAATTAAAGAAATATATGAAATATGAAATAAAAACTATCTGAACAATAATAAAATTTACCTTGTAATTTTGTAAATTAAATGAAGCAATAAATTAATACTTTGAAATAGATATCACCTTTTTTTCTTCTTTCTTAACAGAATGATTTTGTTTAAAGTGACTATGAAATGATTATCAATAGAGGTTTTTGTGAACATTATAGTAATTTTAATAGTTGAGATCATAAGTCAATTGAAGCTAGATCAGCATGGAATGTGGATATGTTGCTCTATTTTGTGGATTAGTTGAAGTAATATATTACCGCTGTTAGATGTCAACTTAGTGGTCTCGAGGATAAGCATTCACGCGCAAGACTGATACATCATGTGTGAGGACTGTTGAAGAGTCACACAATAGGACGAAACGGTAATCTAATGCTTCCAGATTTTCCATGCTAGTCTAGCTTCAATTGACTCATGATATCAACTATAAAATTGGTTTAAAATGTGAACTTTTTTATCACTTTATATAAAAATGAAGAAATCGACAATCGATTGAGTTATGGTTGAACTTATACACGTTATACAAGTTAGAGTCTATTTGAACTCAATAGCTCAATGTACAATCAGTTGAGTGTCGTAAACTAAAGGTGATAAAATTTAATACCAGCCCAAACATCAATACTTGAATTCAAACACACACACTCATTTGGTAAGTTTAAATTACAACGAAACTCACTCTCTGAATTCCGCTGTTAGACACGTTCCATCAGTTTAATAGAAAATTTTGATATAATGGCTACATCGAATCAATCTGCAGAAGATGCTCATCAGTTATATAAAGCTACCTAAAATTTTAAAAAAGACAGGATCATCCAAACTATTACAAATAACAAGATATATTCACCTTTTGCCAGACAACCAGTTTTCATAAAAATCTTAACTTGATTAAACTAAACAGATCTTTAAACAAGAACTTCCGTCTAGATTTGATCTAATGGTTTGACAGTATTTAAGTGCCTAGTTGATGTGAGACATTAGGGAGGAAGAGTGTATCTCAGCGAAAGAATTTGAAATAAATTCAACGTTTCACCTGACAATCTGGTTCAAGCTTTCTCAAAGAAATATCATCAAACATCAAAATTATCGATAATTTCACTTCAAATTCATTCGCTCACATTTACAGTGAACCAGAGAACCATCTTCCTATTCATATTCGATAAGTTTGATTATGTTTCCTTGAAAAAGCTTGGACCAAATCGCCAGGCGAAACGTTGGAGTTACTTCAACATCTTTCAGTGAGACTTTACAAATACATTGTTTCTTTTTAAGTAATTCATTATTTTAATAAATTTAAAGAATGTATCTTTATATATAAGTATTAGAGAAAAAGTATTTCAGAAAATATACTAGACTTTTTAGTACATTCTTCAGAGTATACACCAAACGTTCATGTGTCGCACAAAAATCTGACTGTAATACACAATACAGATGCAAATATCTTTCTGAATAGTAACTACCTATTTGAGCTAATTAACAACAAAAAACTTGTCTTTAATGCTTATTATTTTTTACAGAGATTGTTCTAGAAAGTCTCTTGCCTTCCTATAACTTCGAAGAGTTTCTAATAAATAAATCTTTTAAACCCAATTGAATATGCTGCTCTTATATAATTGAAAATTCAATTGTTTGTGCGTATTTTCAAGAATGATGTTGGTATTATTTCGCAATGCTGTTTCGTGAGTGTCAAGTGCAACTTACCAACTAGATTTTCCATTCATCTTAAATCAGTTTAAATAAATTCCAATCACGATTTCTTACTTGGTGGTTCTTGCATAATCTTGAAATTTTCTTCTCGAACTAGTTGTCATATATGAATGTTGCACTGTGACTGCATTTAGAATCTTTTTCTACACCTCTCCACATGTGAAAGGCATATAAGATGATTTTAGATATTTAATGAGTTACTTTTAAAATAGATTTTAAACAATTAACATAATCCATGACAAAAGTCTTGGCTTTTGTTACACCTGTCATTATCAGTTATATTTTACTTAAACGAACATTACTTGACATTCATTACCACGACTATCTATAGCATCCATTTACAATAACGAGACCATTTATACATCTCTGTGTATAAATGATCTAAAGCATACTGGAAGACTCATGTGACTGTCCCTTACATAATAAATTGTATAACGGCATTATTGGTCAACTCGATGTACAGATGTTATTTACCATTGCTTTCTAGATACTTAATAGTTTACGTAACTACATTATTTTATACCACACCAAACCAGATTTCATTTCTCTTAAAAGGATAATTAGTTTAAACGAAGAATAAAACTTGTTAGCAAGTGTCAGAAGCAATATACCCGACTAACTGTAGAGATATAACGTGCTTTTCGTGATCCTGTTGCATTAATTGTACCTCGCCTCTAAATCAGTTACATAACAGATTTTTTAAGAGGTAATTTTTAGTCATGACATTTTATATTGGATAAGAACGCTAAGTGAAAACTGTTATTGAAATAACTGGGAAAAAAGTACCACAAGTTATTGAATGCCAAACCCACATTCTTGGTAACTGTTATTACTATTATTTTATCTAATAACCTTCACTATGACCAAGCTAAGTATAATTAGCACGGGATGCGTCATGTAGCGCAGCACAAAATTCTGAATAAAAAACAAAAACATTCATCACATTAAAAAACCTTAGAAAATATCATTCCTTTAAAGGTTTTGTTTGACCTCTAAACAAATAAGGCATCACATGTGAACAATCATTTTTACATGACATAATGTTTATAACATGTGAAGTCTAATATAGACCATTTGTCTTGGAATGAAAATCTTTACCCAGTGTTTAGCATTCGTTCGCTTGGAGAAATTTATGAAATTCAATCCCGAAATGTAATTTTTTTTAAAAATTATGACAAATTTATAAAGCAACTTAAAATCAAGACAAATCCAAACCGTACCACCTTTTAAAAAGAATGATTTACTTGAAATCTATGATTGCTTTACAAGCCAATATTCATTATAAGAGAGTAAAATGTATGAAAACTTACAATTCATTAAAATCCCTATCCAAAAGTCGATCGATTCACATAAAGCATAGAAGTGTTCACTATTACAATTGAAAGCTGTAAATGTTTCTACTCACCTAGGATTATTTGTATAATTTAACCTTGAACAACATTGATTTTATTTTCACACTTAAATATCATATATTTTATTTTTTTCAAGGATACTTTTCATTTTATAGTTGAATTCATGAGTCAATTAAAGCTTGACCACTATAGAAAACCTGGAAGCACTAGACGGCCATTTCGTTGTAGTATGAGACTTCTCAGCAATGTGCATCCACGATCCCTCCCGCGCGATTGAAACCCAGGACTTATCGATCTCAAAAGTGAACGATTAACCTCAAGACCACTGAGCTGGCATCCAACGGTGTTGATATCTAATTTCAACCAATCCACGAAATTTTCATTTACCACAAATAAGCATAAAGTTTAACTTGATAGATCATATAAATTTTCTATGCGCTAAAATAATTTCCAGTCAGTTATTATAATTCTTTAATAGTTGAATTCATAAGTCGATCAAAGCTTGAAGATCATGGAAAACCTGGAAACACTGAACAACCGTTTCGTCTCAGTATACGACTCCTCAGTAGTGCGCATCCATCTTTATAATTGGTACTTTCACACGTTTAAAAAATTGTACAAAAACATTATTTAACACATATATTTTCGTTGAATATGTTTATTGCTATTTTTTCTTCACAAGTTTAACGATGAATAATGAACAGAATCTGTTTGTAACATGTTTACAGCATGAATGGGAATAATGTATGGATAGAT